GGCTAATTGTTGCAACGTACGATATGTCTCTGAGTTCATTATCATAAACCCCATGTCGACCATCGTCTTGTACTTTCCCTTGACAAACTCAACCGTACAGGTGTGGCCGCCGAGTCGGCTATCCGCGTCGTAGATGTAGGCATCGTGAGGGCTGCGGTTCATCACCCACAGGGCCCCAAGCCCAGCGATGCCGCCGCCCACGATGGCGACCTTCTTCCTGGGGTATGGGTTAGCTGAGACGAGCATTAATGACGGTTTATTCGCTTGATTGTTTGTATTGAGGAAGAGGATGGAAGAATAAACTCAAAGGAACTGCAACTGTTCTCATGATATTGAGGGCCTTGAAGTCCAGCAGCAGTTCAATGACCCAGTGGCAAGTTGGGCCACTTGGTGGGAGTACAACGCAGCAGGTGTTGTTGGGCATCGAATGGGATGTGACCAGTCGGGAGGCTTTACCGACATGCAGATCTCGACGAACCAAGGCCCGGGCCGGAACGAGCTGAAACTCCGGTATGGTGTGGTGAAGTTGGCCAGTGGGGTCGAGGGACCTGCGATGGACTCCAAACAAGGGGTTGATGATGTGGCTTACCTCGACTGGGGTTGAAAACAATTAACCGACATGTGGGCATTGAGTTGTCCCAATATTCTGGTGTCAGTTGTATTCTTGTACAACACACTAGCGGTGGTTGTTGCGGTTGAGGAACAGTCGGTTGGAGTAAATGTTTCTAGCGCAGAGCGAGAGGATGGAGGTTTCCAGTGATAAGAGGGAGAATTATTTGGACGCCCAAATCTTTGACCTGGCGTCATCGTCTTGAGCAAATGGTGAAAGGATAATCAACGACTTGGGATGAATTAGGTTTTGGCTGGTCAGCGCTGTGAGAGTCCGCGGGAGCACATTTTCATGGTGCAGCCTGCCGTGTCACCCGTGCCAAGGACGGCCGTTTTCATCATCGAGAGCTACCTTTGAAGTTCAGTATGCTTACCTAGACAGCTTTCCGTAGACTGATGACCGACAGCCTTGAGGTGCCTGGTGTTGTGGTCTTGAAACGCCGCCTTTGGCCCGCGCGAATCTGGTGGTGTTGCCCTTATCAATGTTGGCTCCCAAGATCTTGCAAGCTGTCCGGTGAAGTGCCTTGAGAAGAGCCTTGCTGCAATAAAGTGCCAATGCCTCTTTTCTGTGTGAATGATGCCATCATCGAGGCAGAACTTCAAAACTTGGGAGTCCTCTGCTGGGGAGCTGCCACGTATCATTCCCGGCTGGACGGTCTTGGGTGGAGAACCGAGGCTTCTCTGAACCTTTTAGATATGGATGGGGGCCTGTTTCTAGGAGTCAAAGAGCTTGACGTGCGGAGTTAATGACACAACTCCAATGTGATCTTTTAATGCACAGGTGGTGGCTTGCTCTCGCCCTGGTCGGCGCGTGTTGGTTCGCGCTCAACCAAGCAACCGACAAGGCGAGCGGTTAACCGCCCAGAGCAACCGGCAACCAGCATTTTACCAGAAGTGTTTAAGCATTTAACTTCGGCTCTATCTCATCTCGCCGTTCCAAGGATTCGCTTCTGCAGATAACTTCGTCCGTTCCTCGCGCATATCCACCATCGATCAACCTTCACCAGCCAGATGGCTTCTTCTCCAAGCACCAGTCCACTAACCCCCGGGATGATGGCCACCCGGCAGTAGAACCCCCGTCGCCACCAATCTTTTTTGGGACTCCAGATCTCCAAGCCGAACGACATTCCCAGGTTCGTCATCTAGGGTCGCACCTCGGCTGAGCGAATTCAGAGAACAGACTAACTGACACACCGCAGCAGGGAACCCATACCACCCTTGCTATTCTCGGTTCGTATAAGTTATTATCGCACCAAAGCGCGTAAAATCTTTAACGAGCTGGTTGAGTTCAACGCCATTCCCTATTCTCCAAAAAATAGCATCGCGAAGACTACACCGAACAGCAAATCGAGGACGGTGACGAAGAAGGGCGGCGGGCGTTAGAAAGATACATTACTTCTGGTGATAACTCTAGAAATCAGCTGAATCTTTGGAAACGATTTGCGAAGCGCCAAGGCATGGACAACCAACTTGGGCGTAGTAAGATGGAGTCTGCGTGGCGAAGCAGAAAGCAACCCCAAGCGGGAGGATTTTGAGGTGGAACGGGCCCGCGATATGCTCATCAAGGAGTACGACATACCCGACAATGATCTTTGCTAGAAGCTTTAGGAATAAAGGCAGCCACCTCTCGACGCCGCCAAACTCCAGGCAGGGTTTGAATCGAAATCAAGGAAGCGAACCGGGAAATATGACGTTGGCGATGAGGAAGCATTGGCACCAATACATGACGAGGCAGCACCAACACTGGGCGAGATAGAGCCATCACAGGGCGAGAAAGAGCTCCCAAGACGGCCAAGGCGCAAGGTTTCAGACTCAAACCTCGCCACAGCCGCCGATCACGCCATGCCCCATGGGGAACGAAAGAAGCAGAAGGTCGACCCCAATCCAACGGCCAACGGCGGCGATGCCCACACCAACTGGGCACCCAGCGACAAGAGGAGGGGATGACAGCCCACGCCAGGATTGTGTTACCGAGGCTTCAGCCAACTAGTCTAGGGCAAAGCAAGAACAGCGACAAAACGGAGAAAGAGACTCAGACACAGCGTTCGGGCAGGCGAAGAGCGCAGGGTGGTCACTGAGGAGGGTGGAGAAGGTTAGAAGACTCAAGGGAAAGGTGTATGGTAGTTAGGTCACGGGCTTGTATTTTTTCTTAGTAAACGAAGCTTGTGGTGAACGACAGAAAGAAAATCAGCGTGCTTGCAAGATTTGGATGCCCCGAGTTACATTGGGGAAGTCAGAAGAAACATTCTGTCCAAGGCATTCCAGCACTGCGCTTGTATCTCCCTCGTGTCTTACCCCTTGCGGAGCTGCCAATGACCAAAACTTCTGGCCTGGGGTGCTCCGCGGCAACGATGGCTGCATCCAATGTAGTCGAGGATTGTTGTCTAACCAAAAAGGCGACAACATCCTGCTGCAATTGCCCTGTCCGCGCTGTGTCGACCTGTTTCCTCTCGTTGAACTTTGAACTTCTTTGACACCTGCATCACGAAAGATGGCATCGCCTCACAGCAGCAGTTTGATCAAGCCTCCGATCAGGACGTTTCGAGGCAGTCGACCTCCCTCCCCGTCAATTTGCCCTGGAATAATTAACTCGAGACAGTGAATGACAGACTGAGGTTTGTGTACACTTGCTGATTACCATGGCTGCAAGCTGACTAGAACCGCCCTCAGGCGACGCACAGCAACCCCTGCCAACCCAACCACAGAGTGGCAGCGCTCCGAGGCGCTTGGAGTCTACAACGAGCTACTGGGCATAGGGGGAATCCCTACGCGAGACTGGATTGAGAGTGATGCCAACAGCCTTACCTTTGAGCAACGGGGGCTCGATGACGGAGAGGATGAGATGCGAGGCCTCTACCTCAAGGAGTTTGGGTACTAGAGAACTCTGATGCAGCTGTAGCGGGAATTCGCAAAACGCCGAAAAATGGACGACGAGCCCGATGTCCGAGAGCTGGAATCTGCCGATGCCGTCGCGGCCTTCATCGCCCATCTTCGAGACCAGCTGCGGAAAGACATGGAGGACCGCGCCAAGCACAGCTGGCAGACGTGGCTGGACAATGACCAAATGACGATGCACAGAATCTTTATTTATGTGACACTTCCTGGAGTCGAGGCGTTGCTGAAAACCCTTCGGGGCGAACAGGGTGGCAGAAGCGTGGAGGAAGAAAAAGAGTCTGCGGTAACCACGGAAGGTCTGAAGAGGGAATACGACGTCCCTGATTCCGGGAATTGGGAGCGGCTCTATTGCCGCTCTCTGGATCTCCTGGAGGCTCTTGAAAACGAGGCACCGGACCGAAAGCGACGTGGGCATGACGGCGACAAAGAGGCCGCAAAAGAAGAGAGGGCGACGGAAAAGCCGCGGCCTTCTTAGCCCCCAGTGGCGGCCTCAGAGTTTAGCATCAATCCCATCCCGGAGACAGCACAGCCCCCGCAAAGAGAAGATGGGGGAGGCAACAGGAGCGGAAACCTCCCCCCAAGCTCCCGGTCAGCGAGCTGGAGCCAGAAATTGGATCAGAACTGTTCAAGCCCGCCGAGAGCTCACCCCAACAAGCTCGGGTCGTAATGTCCCCCAAAAGTCGTCAGATTCCAAACCCAATTCCAAGGGCTCGAGAAGAAAGGCACCGAGGGATCCTGCAAATCGCCGTCAGAACAGGGCAAGCGAAGGAGGTAGTTTGAGGTCGATGTGCAAGCATTGCTGCAAGGAACTCACTGCACAACTGAAATGAATGTTTATTTGTAACCGTATCACTGTTAACACTTTCAATGACCGTTTCAAGTAAATTTGCGACAAAATTGAACAGAAAAAGAGTGGCGTCGTGGTTCAAGATCTCATGTCCTGTTGTTTTGGTGTATCACCGACATGACAGGCCGACATACCAGTGACACGATCAGGTCAAGACCCGGCAAGCGGTCCCCAACACCGTCCCCTTTCCCGTCCACACTGTATTTGCCCACTGTAGCCCCACATTCCAAATGAATTCAAAAGCGACCAAAATCTGTTTTAACCGGGCAGAGAGAAATTGGTGTCTCAAGAATCGCTACTATGCCAGTCCTCTTCGGAGGCCTTGTGATGAGTGGGCGACCCCGTTTGACCTCGACATTTCGATCTCGTGAACTTTGTAAATTGTGTGTATAACTAAGGCTCTTGGGTGTCGTGTTGCTTTTAAGATTGCTCTGGCATGCAAGAAGCTTCGAAATTGACGGTTCTGCGCACCGCATTACCTTGAGTTCGTCCTCTGACACCTAGTTTCCTGGCTCTCCGGGTGACAACTCGATGACATTTGTGGTTGCTGCCTCAATGCTCCGAGCAACACCATGAGCAACAAACCGTTTTTTTGCCTTCGCTTGCGGCAAAATGCAAAACGAGATGTTAAGCAACAAGTCAAAAAGAACGTCACCTGTAGGATTCGAACCTACGCTCCCGAGGGAACTGCCTAAGCAGCTAACTGTGAATTAGCAGGGCAGCGCGTTAACCACTCCGCCAAAGTGACTTGTGTTGATTAGGTGACGGTTTACAAAGCTTATGTAGAGCTTGATTTTTCAACAGCTAATTTGCCCAGAAGCCCTACCATCTCCAGCCTTCTTCCACAGTCCACCATTGGCCAATTCATCCATCTGTTTCCTACTGTTCATCTGCAGTACGACTTTCTAGGTCCCCTCGAGAGACAGAAATATCTTCTGGATAATCCTCAAACTCATGATCAAAAAAACAAGATCATTTGGCGTCCAAGGTCTTAGGGCGGTTCCGATTCCCCTTTTTGCCTTTGAGCCATCCCTTTCCGACTTCTGATGCTTTCTCCGCGATTCAATCCCCTCCCAGTCTTTCTGCTGGCGCTTTTTGAAACATGCTTCATGCAGTCTCAAGCGCTCATGCAGCCTCAAGCGCTCATGCAGCCTCAAGCGCTCATGCAGCCTCAAGCGCTCATGCAGCCTCAAGCGCTCATGCAGCATTCTGGACCAGACAACGAGCCCACCAATGGCAATTAAGAAACACCGTGAATGCCTCCCACAATATATCTCCCTTCTTGTCCTCATGGAATGGCAGAAAAGGCCTCCCAACGAGTCATACTACCTGGCTCTTTGGCACCATTGAACTCGATCCTACATGTCTCTCAAGCTCACCGACTATGTCGTGGACGGACACAGAGTTCTCGAGGCGGACATCGTCTTCACCTTGACCTTTAACTTCAGCGAACCCAACGGAACCATAGATTATGAGGCGCACCAACCGCGCATTCACAACTACGATGCACACAGAACGCGCAAGTTAGCTCGTGCTAATCGGGGTTCAACATCCCCAGAAGACTTCGGAACCTTTGTCTTTACCTGCTCGAATCCCCCTCGCCAGTCTCGTTCTCACTTCGCCATCGGCCGCGGTGCCTACTGCGATCTCACCATAGACACCCCATATGTCAGCTACGAACATGTCATGTTTGGCTTTGAAGGTGAACATGTGGTCATGTACGATGTCTCGTCTGTTGGCTGCCGACTCGCTTTCGACGACGACGAACCTCGATGGACATGTCCGAGGCCGGGAAAGCCGTACAAGTGCTTCCTTCCTCCGGGAAGCAAAATCTGGCTCACACTCCACGGCGCAAAATTCCAGGTCCACGTACCATCTCGCCAGGGCGCCGAGCTGGCAGCATTCCGCGAGAAGCGTGATGCCTTCCTCGCCGGCTGCCCTGATCTCACGGCTCCAACCATGCCTGTCCGGGACTATTTGCCCACGGAGACGAGGGAGTGGTCGGCCATGTATTGGTTTGAGTCACACCTCGATTCGGGCGGGTTTGGCATGGTGTTCCAGGCCCGTCGACTGAATGACTGGGCCGTTTTCGCCGCGAAGAAACTGCAAAAGAACCTCATTGACAACGGCTACACCCTCGAGAACGAGATCAGAGCATTACAGCGTCTTCGACACGACCGCATTGTAAAATACATCGATGCGTACGAAAACCATTTCGACGGCTACGTCCTTGTCATGGAGCAATGCCAGTTTGGAAGCCTCCACAACTTCCTTCAGGCCGCCCGGGTGCCCTTTCCTCCCCATATTACCGCAGAAGTTCTCAAGCAGACCGCCGAGGGCTTGGTTTACCTTCACGGTCAGAGAATTACACACCGGGACCTAAAACCGGCCAACATCCTCGTGCGCCAGCGAAATCCGCTAGCTATTGCCCTCAGCGACTTTGGTCTGGCCAAGATCATGGACGCGAATAACTCGTACATGGAGACCGACTGCGGAACATGGCACTACCGAGCTCCCGAAATGCTACAGGTCAAGCAATATACCAAAGCCATCGATATCTGGGCATTCGGTGTTGTCGGCTTTGAGCTACTGGAGCGGGGGCTCCCGAGGTTGAACAAGATCAAGCCGAGGGGCTATCCCGAGTGCATTGTCAAGCGAGTGGCGGCTTTATATCACAGATGGCCGGAGAGTGAAAAGTCACTCGTGGCTTTCGTTTGGAGAATGCTAGCGCAGAACCCCAAAGACCGCCCACTGGCGGCCCAATGTGTCCAGGAGGCGAACGAGCTGCTTATCTCCTTAACCTTTCCAAACCAACCGATTGGCCTCCCGGAGCTGGGACTTCCGGGTGTTGTCAACGGACACCGGGCTCAGGAGGCCTTTGCGTCAATCCGCAAGCTGCCACCGAGCTTCAGCGAGTGGAAAATACGGCCGGATGCGATACAGACGGATGAAATCGAGCATTATATGCTCGCTTCAGGGAGCTTGAAGAGGAGAATCGACTATTCTACGGGTGAGAGCTCACCGGTTGCCGTTGGCCGCAAGGTCCATCGCTTAGAGGGTGAAATGGACACGTCCCAGAGACGCAGTACTGGTAGCATATCTGGTCTTGACGTAATGAAGATCGAAAATATGTAAGTTGTATTTATTTGTTTCTCTCTTCCCCGTTCGTCTTTCTCATTACCCCTTTCCGACTTTCCCTCGGACCAAACATTGGATAACGACTGACACGAATAAAGTATATAGCTGGAGAATTGCCTTAGCTAGGGTTATCAAAGATATTTGCTAAGCGAGTTCGGCAAAACATAGCAGATGTGGACGGTAAACCTGTACCGGGGTATCATAGAACTAATTTTTTTTTTTTCCCAACTTCTGTCCTTTTCCCTACTGTTCTTACTGGTCCGTGGCCTTGACCTCGCCTTTACCACATGATGAAAGTTCCAAAATGTCCAATCATTCTTGAACCCCATATCTTCCCACATCACTGGTCTCAGGAGCCAAAAAAGAAGGACGAAGAAAAGAGAGAGCGAGGAGAAAAGAAGAACCAAAGAAAAGGCGATCACATCATTCTCACACCAACCTGAGTTTCGGCTGCCAAAGTCTCTTTAGTCTTCAGAGCTCGGGGGCATGAGAAATCTCGAACCAGCCGCCTTTCCATGCCTGGGCAAGGTCTCGTCCTGCAGCAGACCTTGACATGGCAACGTTCCTTTTTCCCTGGACACATCCACAATGGAGGCCGTGAAGATTATGAGACACCGTTCGTGGTGTTTTCACCTCTTTAGCCTAAATCCCAGCTGCATTCTCGGATCATGAAGCATGGACGCCCCCCAAACCATCCAAGGCCATGAGACAGGGGCTATGAACAAGCGCCACTCACAGAAGAACGTCTCGCCGGGTCACAACTATTTACCGACCTATGTATTGCGATAGCCAAGCTGCAATGGTTTTGTGATGCTACCCTGTCCTGATTCACAAGTCCCAGAGAGCCAGTGATGAGGCCCAAGATGTCTCGCTAAGACGTGGCGGTGCTCTCATCAACCAACATGGAACCTGACCAGCGTGATACTCTCGCCTGAGCGTCCTTGCCCGGGCTTTGATCAGACCACCCGATTGAACGCCCCCAGGCCAAGAGGAGGGCAAGATAAAAGGCATAGGAAGGCAGACCTCAGGTTTCTCTGAGGCCAGCCAAACAATCCCCATCTCTCAAAGCATCACCACCAACAAAACCACAACTCTCACCCTCACCTACCACTTTCCCAGTCAGTATCCATCCCATAATGGCCAACTCCAAATCCCCTACTAAACCCCCATCTCCCTAACCGCCCCCTTCCCTTCACTCCACAACCTCCACCACCCTGACTACCCCCTCAACCCTCCTCCTCCTCCCCAGAATCCACAGCCCCATCAAACCCTCCCATGCGATAGCTTCACCGCCACCGACGACCGCATGCCCGACGGCGACTCACGCTACGTTTATGACACACGCTCCTCCAAAGGCCTGAACTCGTACGCTAAGCCCAAAGAGAAATCCAAGCTGGGCAAGTTCCTGTCCAAGTTCCAGAGCGCTGCTGTGATGAGGGGCAGGCGGCGGCGGATAGAGTGCGGCTGGAGGAGGAGAGGACCGGGATGAGGAATACGGGGATGGCGATAGGGGAGTACGAATGCTAGTACGGTGGGGTTTATGTGAGAAGGTGTAAAAGAAATGTTGAAGGGAGATGATGAGTGGGCTTGGTGGGTTGTGAGAGACGAATATATTCAAGGAAGGCGGCGGGGTGGGGGAATCGACGCGGGTGATATGGGAGTCTGAGAAGAAAGGGGCGTCGAGGGAACGTTCCAGAGACAGGGCAAAGGGACAGGTGAGCAGAAACAGAGTGGAACAGAAGACTGAAGTTCAGAGAGCGTAACAGTTCTTTGATACGTACCCTTATGATATTTTCCTTAACCTCTAACACCACAATATGAAAACCAGACATCAAACCAACCAAGAAAACACCCCAAGAACATCCTCATGACCTCTTCCCAACACGACTCCCATGCATGGTCGAGCCTCCCCTCCTATCCTGCCCAAAGCCTCTCCTCCCCGTGGAATCCCCCTTGCCGCCTCTCCCAGCGCCGCCTCTGCCACCGCCACCACCCCTATCACCACCACCCCTGCCGAAACCACCCTGCCACCACCCTATCACCACCGCCCCTCCCAAAACCGCCTCTGCCACCGCCCCTACCACCGAAACCTCGGCCACCACCACCAGCACCCCGACCCCGTCCACCGCCCTCCTATCCCCTCCACCTCCTCTCCTCTCCCTGAACGCCTTCGCCGCAGCGCCCTCATCAATATCCATACCACCACCACCCTCATCACCACTATCATCATCATCGCCATTCTTCCTGCCGCGGTTCCACTTGAGCTTTCCGCGCAGGCCACGGCGGGGGATATCCTTGCCCTTGAGCGCAGCAACATACGCGCCCACACCGCTCTCCTCCTCACCACCAGCGGGCGCATCCACATCCATGGCGTTGTCATCGTCCCGGCCCAGGATGAGCTTCCCGTCCAGGTCAAACTTGGCCTTGGTCCTCTTGCCCGGTTGTCTTGCCTTGCCAGGCTTGGTAGTCGAGATGTTGGCGAGGGCGTTGCGGTCAAGCAGATCTAGCGGCTCGTCCTCGTCCTCGAGGATATACGCGGAACCGGCCTTCTGAGCCGCGCCCCGGCGCTTCTGCCTGCGACCGGTCATCTCGACGTCCGAGTCATCTGAC